ATTTAGTTAGCGAGCTCTATGCCCAAAGTGGGGACTGAACTCACGACCCTGAGATCAAGAGTCACATGCTCCACCGACTGAGCCAGAGAGGGGCTCGCTTAGTTAGTTAGTTAGTTAGTTAGTTAGTTAGTTAGTTAGTTAGTTTAGTTTTGAAAGAAAGAGCAAGCTGAGGAGGGGCAGAGAGAGAGGGAGACTGAGCATCCAAAACAGGCTCTACACTGACAGCAGAGAGCCCAACACAGGGCCCAAACCCATGAACTGTGAGATAGTGACCTGCGCCTAAGTCAGACATTCGACTGAGCCACCCAGGTATCCCTATTTTTTAAATTTTTTTTTTCAGTTTATTTTGAGAGACAGAGACAGAGAGACAGAGAATGAACACATGTGTGGGAGGAGCGAAGAGGGAGAATCCCAAGGAGGCTCCACTGTCAGCGCCGAGCCCGACGAGGGGCTCGATCTCACAACCCGTGAGATCATGACCTGAGCCAAAATCAAGAGTTGAACACTTAACCAACTATGCGACCCAGGTACCCCTATTTTTTTTTTCTTTAGTAGGCCCTATGGCCAATGTGGGGCTTGAACTCAGTGGGTGAATATTTAGTTGCAAAAAGACGTGTGTGTATCTGATGGGGTAACATAGGAAGGAAAAAAAAAAACAAACAAACTAAGGAACATAGAAGCTACTAAAGAGGTATAGGGAAAACCAAAAAAGAATATCTTAAGTCAGGCAGAGAAAGACAGGTACCATATGTTTTCACTCATATGTGGACCTTGAGAAATTTAACAGAAGACCATGGGGGAGGGGAAAGGGGCAAAAAAAAGTTACAGAGAGGGAGGGAGGCAAACCATAAGAGACTCTTAAATACTGAGAACTGAGGGTTGATGGGGGACGGGAGAGAGGGGAAAGTGGGTGATGGGCATTGAGGAGGGTGCTTGTTGGGATGAGCACTGGGTGTTGTATGGAAACCAATTTGCCAATAAATTATATTTTTTTTAAAAAAGTATCTTTACCCCAGAGTTTTTTCTTTTAAACAAGTAACTGAAAGGATAACCTAAGTACTAGTTTCCCTCAGGAAAAATATCAAATGTAGCCCGAGTTCACCAGCTGGGCCGAATTCAGGGGGGATGCCACTCCCCCAAAAATATAAAATTGCAGCCCAGGAACAGTGGCAGCACAAGGTTCTTTCTGTTCCAAACCCAAGTGGCCTGGCTCACTTCTCTGAAAGTTCTTCAGAAAAATGGTAGCAAGCATCTCAAGGCGTGAAACAGTCTGCAGCCTGATTCCGTGGTACGCATGCCCACAGAACCTCCACCGCCGCCCGCCCTAGACCAAGTCACTGTTGGCTTATGGTGGCCAGGGCAGCCATAACCTCTTGTGACATCAGAAAGAGAAGAACTCCTAGGTTAACCAGCCTCATCACTTCAGACGCTCATCACCCCTCTCACTTCCCTCAAGTCGCTGAAGAGCTGGTAGTTAGTAATGAATCGGAGCTTAACAAACTTCAGGAGGACTGACATCCACCAACAGTATGGGAATATAACAGCAGAGCTGTTCAAA